CCCTTAAGTTCGTTCGAAAGATTCAGAACAGCAGAATGCACTTTTTCCGCTGGAAGTACCAATATACGTGATTTCACCTGCAATTGCAAATCGAGCTGTTTAAGAAAAATGGCGGCAGTGCTCAAGCTGATGATCCCTGCGAACGATGGGGCGTCTGTCGCGACGCGAATTGCAGTGCAGCCAGGGCGCGGTTTTTCCACCAATAATGCCATCCTGAGCCCGACGCAGCCGATGAGAATCCAAGTCATGCCAAGTCACGCGCCCTCTCGTTTGCAGGACATGACTATATTAGGTTGACCGGAAAGTTTCCCGCCACGTGTTTGATCGCACCATATTAGCCTTGCATGTATGTTTATGACTTATCGTGGGGTGTGCATGAAGCACGCAAGAGACTCTTTCACATCACTACCTCACACTCACCCAGCTTGCATTTGGATTCCAAAATGCCGCCCAAGTTTCAACCCGACAGGATGCACCTGAGGCACTGTCTTCTTTTCCTTCATCAGTCTGGCTTAAACGCAAAGGAAGCCCAAGCCAAGATAGTGGATACATATGGCGCTGACGCTATCTCTTACGACACGTGCAAGACCTGGATGGCCAAGTTCAAGAAAGGAGATTTTTCTCTCCAAGATGCTCCAAGGTCCGGCCGGCCGATGGAGTTAGACTTGAAGTTGCTGCAATCCACCGTGGAAGAGGATCCGTACGCCACTACCAGGGAACTTGCAGCGATGCTCGGCCATGCCCAATCAACTGTTGAATCTGGGCTGGAGAAGATTGGTAAAGTCGCAAAGCTTGGCCGTTGGATTCCTCACCAATTCAATGGCGGGAAACTTTCCGGTCAACCTAATACTTTGCGTGATGCTCACAAACGTTCGAGCTTCAACTCTTTATGATTTTCACATCCTTCAAAGAAGCGCTGTCCGTGCAGACTAGACTTTAGTAGAACAGTCATTCATGCAGTTCTAATCACGAACTGGAGCCGTAGGTGATGCTACAGGGTGTCAGCAGCTACGTTTGGCACAGTGCCAACCTGTTCTCCGCCAATTGCTGGACAGTGCAAACGACAACAGTTGGTGGAAAAACGAGCGAGCATCGCGACGAACCCAGCTCCATAATACGGCAAGTCCCAGGCTCTTAATACCCTCCAGGCTCATTTCCGCATTTCGCGCACGCTTTCGAGGGTTGAAAGCGTCACACTTGTTCAGCTGCCAACCCGTTCTACTCGCCCATGGAGACGATCATCCTTGGAGGTTAGCGCGAAGTTAACCTTCACGTGGAAAAATCATGGGCAGAGTGCTACGTAATGTCCTGTTCACTGCGGATGACAGGGCGTGTCAAGATACACTCCTTATCCCTGAGCCAGGGTAGGCGTGGCATTCTACCATGGCACGGAACTGGTTACTCGTGGTATATCCCAGTCTGGGACAACTGTCTTACTCGTGGAATATTCCAGTCTGGGACAACTGTCATCTTGTTCTGTGTTGGACAGAGACACGACAACAGTTGTGTCAAGATGAAAATATCTCACCAGAAGCATAGACACCTTCAGGTTAAGTTGAAACATGCGGCCACGCCTACCCGATCTCAGGGATTTCGAATATAGAAATGACGGGTTTATCGCGGCGCCAACCTGTTTCTTCCATTATTTTCGGCAAATTACAAGACTGTACCATATTACTCGTATCAATCGTTTTCTACAAGTTGTTGGCGCTTATCCGCTTTAACAACTGATTGAGAGCGGGCTGGCCAACTCCGCCTAACTGATCCTTCCCATCATTCGCAGAGAACAAAATGTGTTTTAATGAAGGTGTTTGAGAACACATCAAAACCATCTAGAGCTCAGTTGTGATGAAAGGGAAAATTTCGAGAACTCACCGGAACAGATATAGCACTGAAGGTATTCACACGACTCTCAGAACTAGGCGTATGGTGCAGATTAATTGTGAATATTTTCAGAAGCTCTTCTTGTGTTTCTGGCTCTAGGTTGAACAGCCTTCCTGTAAGAGATTGCTTGAATTTCTCACCTCTAAGTTGTTCCACGCATACATCGTGTATTGTGCAACAACTTCATCTTTCATTTACTAGAAAAAAGGCTAGAATGACGAAAAAGGGAAGCGAAACCAGCCATCAGAATCTCCATTCTAGCTATTTATTAGGGAAAGCGGACGAGTTAGCTGTTATCATGCCACCACGCCGAGCACCCCATCTCTGCCGTAGAGGGCTAGAGCGCAGAGGTACGAAATCTCGTGGAAGAGTCGAAGTACGTTGGGCCCTACGAAGTTGCCAACAGTGCACTCTTTCGTGCCATGAATATCCTATTAGAGCCCGGCCTCGGGTAATATTATATTGGCATTTTTCCTATATGCCTACCCAAAATATCGCATGCCCTGCTCTTCAGATAGCCTATGACAATATTACAAAGTCTTGCAATGAAATTTCATCGAAGACAAGGGTATAGGCAGTGCCTTTGACATTGCTTTTGCCAATACTACTCGGTCTAGCATTGGGATTTTGCCGATCCCAAGGGCCAGGTAGGACTTAGGGAGTCACAGTCAGCATGCGTGACAGTGTAAAGATTACTTTGCTAAGCACTCGTTGCAAACTTATTCCAGTCAAACGTATCCTTCACACCAAATGTCGCACAAAGTGGCTAAAATTCTCACTTGATTTTAGCTTCTGTTGCTATGCCCTATCCTCGATAAACGAGATTCGGATGGTTGCTGGTTCCGATAGGTCGTGCTCTTCCTTTTTCCTTATCGCCGAGAGCCTGAGCAGTTGC